GCTAATTATCCAAACACTCTAAAAATTAATCCTAAAAATAAGACGTAACAGCTTATCAGCTCTTAAAACATCTTATCAGACGTAGGAGCTTATCAGCTGTTTAAAATAAGTTTAGCCAAACACCCTCTTAAGCAACACTAAGTATTATAGATGATACTTGGATGGGCAAAATATATCTATATCATCAAGGAGGATATTATAGTCATTGTACACCAATTATTAACGGTGTCAGAATTTTAATTAGATATTTGGTAAATGGAGGGGCGTGTATTGCAAATTGATATTTTAAGGGTGTAATGTGTAATTAATCATTTAATATAAATTGAAAATATCAAATATATCCTTGCTAATAGGCAAAGTGAAATCAATTTTATGTGTTTAGGGGTTAATCAGTCCCTTTTTTTATGTAAAGGGGGTTTATTGCAAAACTTGAAAACTTTAAGATTCTTTGATTCCTTAATTAAACAAATTAAGAAATTCATTAGAGAATATCATTAGTGCTCCCTAGTTAGAGGATAATGTTTCTTTATATATTTTAAAAACATATATTAATTATTTAGCATAAATTAAAACTGAGTCAATATATATAATTAATTAATTAGATATTATAAACTGTATAAATATACGTAGCCCTGCAAAATGCAAATAATACCATAGCTACTGGTTATCATCTTTCCCCCTTCTCTGCGCACACACAAAACACACAGTAGAGCGTTTTTCTTCTTCTGAGACTGAAAATGGCTGCGGCGAGTGGATCGTGTGCATCTATGGAGGAGTTTCTGAATCAGTGCCAACAGTCCGGTGACGCCGCGTACAGTGCCCTCCGATTACTCCTGGACCGTCTCGAGGATCCGAGTACCCGAACCGATGCCCGGATCTTCCTCTCGGAGCTCCACAAACGCTTTGAATCCAAAGAAGCCTCCGACCGATGCCTCCAGACCTACCATTTCCAAATTCAGGACATATTTCTCGAACAATACGAAGGTAACACTCGCCCTCCGTTTCGTTATTGAACGTCTGGATGATTTTTTTATTTATTTTTATTTTGTTTTGTTTTTTTATCGTGATTTGACGAATCGTTTTAACGATGGAAATTGGAATCAGCGGAAATTAGATTTTGGATATTCGAAAAATTTGAAGTGCTAACTTAAGAGAAATAAATAGTTCGAAAAATTGGAATAGGATTTCGGCGGTTGTTCGAGATTCACCTATTTGACGCCACCTAATATTTTTTTTATTTTTTATTTTTTTCTGTTATTTTGTAAGTAGTGTTGGATTAGATGACATGAATACGAAAGACTACAACTGCTGAAGACCCAGCCGGTGTCAATAATTTATTCGATTTTGAATTTGCTAATAATATTGCAACAAATTGCTCTTACTGCTGATTTTTTTTTATTGAATATTCTTTGAAGAAATTGGTTCCAATCAATTGATTTAAGGGATTAGTCAGTTAAAGTTCACGATCACTGACAATTTTAATCTGTCGAATCGAAGGAGCAATACCACGGTATGCAGTTATCAGAAATAGTACAGCTTACATATTGCGATTGGAATTTTGAAAAACCTCCTCGGATGAGCTTGGCAAGAGGCCTTTTTATAGTTTTCGAGCTATTCATGGTGCAGGAGAAAATTATTAAGAAAAAAGTGGGGGTTTAACAATCACTTCTCTGCTCATAAAATCTTAATTTTATACTCCAAAGGAATTCAACAATGCCGAGGACAACTTTGTTCCTGATATGTCTCTCATTTTATATCTTATTTATTCCCATTTTGATAATTTCAGATGGATCAGCCAAAATTAATCTCCATTTATTCGTATCGAGTCTTTGCTTCTTGTTTTGATGAATGTAATTGATCAATTACTTCCACTTTTTATGTCACTGGTTTGTTTTGAATCAGAAATTTTGCCCTATTATTTGCACTAGTTTGCTACATTCACAATTTCTTTAATCACTTTTAACAGGTTTCCAGAAGAGGAAGAAACTTACGATGATGGTAATACCCAGTATCTTTATGCCAGAGGATTGGTCCTTCACCTTCTACGAGGGACTTAACAGACATCCAGATTCTATTTTTAAAGATAAGACGGTAGCTGAGCTTGGTTGCGGAAATGGATGGATATCCATTGCCATTGCAGAGAAGTGGTCACCATCAAAGGTCCAAGATTCATATGTTTTACAGTTGCTTACTCTATTTAGTGACATCTTCTTTTGTTGTAGTGTCTTCTTGTTTTAATTGGAGACTCTTTACATAAATCATACAAGTTTCCGTAATGCAATGGAATACCAATATGCAGGTGTATGGACTTGATATTAATCCAAGAGCAATAAAGATTTCCTGGATAAATCTGTATTTGAATGCTTTGGATGAAAAGGGTCAGCCAATTTACGATGGGGAGAAAAAGACTTTACTTGACAGGGTCGAATTTTATGAATCTGATTTGCTGTCCTACTGCAGAGATAATCAGATTGAACTTGAGAGAATTGTTGGATGCATACCACAGGTATTTTCATTAATTTCAAGTTGCTGCTAATTTTAGCAATGCTTTTCATAGCCACAGAAGACGAGTAAAGTTCTTTGCTTGTTTTGGGATTAGAATTTATATACTTGATGCTGATTATTCTCATTATATTGCTGTAACAGATTCTTAACCCTAATCCAGATGCAATGTCCAAGTTGATTACAGAAAATGCCAGTGAAGAATTCTTGCATTCTTTAAGCAACTATTGCGCTCTCCAGGTTGGATTCTTGTTCAACTTTCGTTGCTATGGTGCTAAAATAACTAGCATATAATGCTTTATTCTGAATTTCATAAACTTACAGTTCTATTTATCTGTCTGTTGTGAAAAGTTTCTTAAAATGTGTCTATGACATTGCAAAAGATAGTATTTAGCATCGTAAGTATTATATCTGGACTCTTACGTAAGTTGCCTTCTTTTCTTTTTCAGCTGGTTTTCAGTCCTTGGACCAAAATATGAACTATAATATCTCGGTAGCTTTTAAGTACTTTATCATTTTACTTTGGTTTTATTTTCATAGATTATTTGAATGGAGTGAATGAACTATGAATGGAAGTTTTGCTATACAAGTTTTATGTTCTTTCTTGCGGAATGAAGACACTTTAAGATTGCTGAGAGAGGCATATCAATTTATGTGCCTCCAAAAGAATTAAAAGAAATATTTGAAATTGGAAGCCTATTGTATGGATTCGACGACAGCTTTGCCCTGTTTCAAGCAAACATAATTGCAGTATATTAAGTTATTGGTTGCACAGCTACAGGCCTCAATTCTAGGAAATCAGTCTGTCATGTTAACTTGCTACTTAGTTGTGTGTCATCTAAGCTGGTGTTCATCATTACTGTTGTTGCACATACAAGGACAGAGCCATTTATTCAACTGTTGAAATAATATTTTGTGCTCTCACTATTTCTTTAAGCATTTTTTTTCTTCTTGCTAGGGCTTTGTTGAAGACCAATTTGGCTTGGGACTAATTGCGAGGGCTGTTGAAGAAGGGATATCTGTTCTAAAATCTATGGGAATTATGATCTTTAACATGGGAGGCCGTCCAGGACAGGCTGTCTGCAAACGTCTGTTTGAGCGTCGCGGTCTGCGTCTGAACAAGCTATGGCAGACTAAAGTTCTTCAGGTTTTACTTTAACTTTATTGCTTTTATAGTACCCATGGAAGTTTGCTTCTTAAGAGATCTCTTATTGCAGGCCGCTGATACAGATATTTCAGCATTAGTTGAAATAGAAAAAAATAGTCCACACCGTTTTGAGTTCTTCATGGGTCTTGTTGGAGACCAGCCTATTTGTGCCCGAACAGCATGGGCATATGCCAAAGCTGGTGGTCGCATTTCTCATGCTTTATCAGTATTCAGTTGTCAACTCCGCCAACCTAATCAGGTATGCAAAGTTTCTCCATGTCCTTATGAGTACAAGCGCACATATTAACGCATGAGAAATGGTTACGAGTCTTTAGGGGAAATGAGGTCAATACTGATGTATCTGCTCTGACAGGTGAAATCGATTTTTGAGTTTCTCAGAAATGGATTCGATGACATCAGCAGCTCTTTGGATTTGTACTTTGAAGATGACTCTGTTGCGGATGAGAAGATCCCGTTCCTAGCTTATCTTGCTAATGTCTTGAAAGAACTTTCATTTTTCCCATACGAACCACCAGCAGGAAGCAGACGATTTCGTAGTCTCATCTCAAGATTTATGAGAACATACCATCATGTTCCAATTACTGCAGATGTAAGTAACTTCTTCTTCTGCTATAATTTTTTTAGATTTTTGTGTGGTGTATGGCTTCCACTTCATGTAAGCCTTTAATGGAGTCTATCTTAGGGCAATTGTTAAATTTCTTGTGTGATGCGGCACTAGGAAGATACACAATTAAAAACAGGAAATTCAGAATCAAAAGCTAACTAAAAAGCAAATGTATGCACATTTTCGTACATTCTCATATGCATTATAAGCATATCTGCATGTCTATGTCATGTAGGCGGCGGGGAACAACTGTGCACCTGTACATGTGATACAATTTTTCGTTAAAGTATTTAACATTCTTGAAAGTAGTTTAATAGCTAGAACACTAAATTCTTTCCTTCTAAACATTGGAACAGTGTTTGATGAAGAAATTGTTAAAATAAACATTCATTAGTTGACCATGGTATCATTTTATGCATAAAAGTCTGGTTCATATTAGTCCATAAAAGTGTTGAACATCTGATTAATATATGATGCCCACAGCGGCCCAGTCTCTATGGCACTTTGCTTCTCTGTTGGTTCTGTGGAATAGATTCTAGTTGAAAAGTTGTGACATATGTTGTCAGCATATATTGCCTCTGTTAGAATACAAGGTGCATTGAGTGTTATGATCATTGAGTGATATACTGATATAAGAAAGGAAGAAGATATATTTCACCCCCTGATTGTTTTGTCTGCTTCAGTCTTTCAGGGTGGGTGGGATAGGGATGGGGGTGAAGGGATGAGGGAGGTTGAGGGAACTCTTTTATACTGTAGGGAGTGTGACCAAAGCATGTTATTTTCTTTGGTAAAGCAAAGTGATTTTTGCTTTTCTTAGAAAAATATTTGACGTATGTTTTACGGAATATCTTTTTAGATAAATCTGTTCTGCACTTATTCACATAATTACTTTTATCGAGAATCTGTCTCCAATCATAAGCTTAAATTGGATCATGAATAATGCATCTCAGGCTGATTCAATTTTCCCTTTCTTGATGTTTCTTCCATCTAGATAGTCGTATGAAAATTGTGGTTATGCAAAATAAAATCATTTACATTATCTGATTTTCCATTCTTTTCTTTTGTGTTTTTGTGCGCTAGAATGTTGTTGTGTTTCCTTCGAGGACAGTGGCTATAGAAAGTGCTTTACGTCTGTTGTCTCCACGACTCGCCATTGTTGATGAGCAATTGTCTCGACATCTACCAAGGCAATGGCTAACATCCCTAAACATTGAGGTATGGTGATTGTAAAAGTTATTTAGTATCCCTTGTATCACTTTTGATCCTTGTGTTTTATAAATACTACAGCTTAGATGAAATCAGCTTGTTTTTGGCCTTAATTGGAGTTTGAGACATCATTAACGCTTTCCAGTAGTACTCTGGAAAATCTGTTATAGCATCCAAATTTTTTTCTCTGTTAAAAGAAAAAACGAAAAAAAAGTATAAGTATGCAAGATAAAAATCAAGTTTTTTCATGGGAATATAAGGAAGAAAAATTATTATACTCATGTGAAACACATCGTACATGAATAACGTTATTTCTAAGTATGGACCTTAAACTGTAGTTCATGAATAATGACACACTAGGCTTTACCTTATAGTTGTACCTCAAAACGTTATAAAAGACAATGAGAACAAGACCATGTGAACCTCAAAACGTTCAATGAATTGTGGGTTTTATCTATTGTAAATTACTCTTTTCTTGACATCTTGAACTTCTTTCTGCAGAAGACAGAAAGTGGAAAAGATTTCGAGGAAGTAATCACAGTCATTGAAGCTCCACGTCAGTCAGATTTGTTGGTAGAGCTGATTAAGAAATTGGAACCGGAGGTAGTAGTCACCGGGATGGCTCAATTTGAGTCGGTCACTAGTTCCTCATTTGAGCATCTCCTGGATGTCACGAGAGAAATTGGATGTCGATTGTTTTTAGATGTATCAGACCACTTTGAGCTCTCTAGCCTTCCGAGTTCCAACGGAGTCTTTAAATATCTTGCTGGAAATGCTCTTCCTCCACACGCTGCTATTGTATGCGGCTTACTGAAAAATCAGGTATATATATGTGTCATAAAGTAATTGAAGTTGAATTCAAGCTATCAGTGTGACGCTTTGCGTGCTGATTAATTTTATTTTATTTTTTGTTAAACCTTGGTGATTTCGTCGTAAAACTATATGCACCTTACACCTCATCTCTGGACTCCAGGTTTATTCAGATTTGGAAGTGGCATTTGTGATATCAGAGGAGGCGGCAATGTTTAAATCATTATGCAAGACTGTCGAACTTCTACAAGGAAATACTTCCATAATTAGTCAGTACTATTATGGTTGTCTTTTCCATGAGCTTCTAGCTTTTCAGCTTGCTGATCGACATCCACCTGCCCAGGTTAGTTTGTTTTCGAGATTACATAGTTGTGTGGCTACGGATTTATTCTCATTATTCTTTTTAATCTGCACTAGCAGAATTAAACAGACCAGAACATAAAACGACCTTCTTTCTCATATGATAGTTAAGATGGTCATAGGAATTTCAGGCATGCATTTATGTTATAAATGTGAATCAGCTGGCATTTTAATTTGGAAGTACTAAATAAAAGTCTTGCTAGTATTTCTTTATCGACGACTACAAGTTAGACTTCGCAGACTCCCCGAGTGTTTTTTAAGATCACAACTTGGAAAAGATTGCACTTAGGACTTCTATGTCATGGCCTCACTATAACACAACTTATAATTTAAGGTTTTCTGTACGTGTAAATCTTATGGACCCAAGACAGTATTCTGTAATGCTGATCAGACGTTTTTTACGCTAATAACATAAGATGCTAATTCAGTTGCAGTAGATTTAGTTTCCTTACATTCTTACGTCTTTTCTGCATAATATAACTATGTGCCACATTGTTTTTCTCTTGTTTCAGAGAAATGGTGCGAAGAAAAAAGCTTCAGAGGCGAATGGCTTTTCCAACCCCACAATCAACGTACTTGATAACGCTGAGTTGGCAGTGATTGAATCCGAAGAATCTCCCTTGGTACACATGGATGTTGACCAGAGCTTTTTGCCCATAACTACACCCGTAAAAGCTTCCATCTTCGAGAGTTTCGCTAGGCAGAACATAACAGAACCCGAAACTGATGTCACACACGGCATTAGACAGTTGATTAGCAACAGTTACGGCTTTCCATCTGCCGCAAACACTGAAGTCATATATGCAGACTGTGCAGTGGCACTTTTCAGTAAGTTGGTACTTTGCTGCGTCCAAGAGGGCGGAACACTCTGCTTTCCAACTGGCTCAAACGGAAATTATTCATCCGCCGCAAAATTTCTGAACGCAAAAATTGCAATTATTCCAACCAATCAAGAAGTAGGATATAAATTGACAGAGAAAACACTTGCAGCCTCACTCGAGACTATCAAGAAACCATGGGTATACATTTCTGGTCCAACTATCAATCCCACTGGATTGATATACAGTAACGAAGAGATCAATAAATTATTATCCGTATGTGCCAAGTTTGGAGCGAGGGTGATTCTTGATACTTCATTCTCGGGGGCGGAATTTAACTCCAAGGGCAGTGACAGCTGGAATGTGGGACCCACACTGGAGAAACTTTCCTCTGCTGATTCGGGCTTTTGTGTATCTCTTCTTGGGGGATTATTCTCTAAGATGCTGACAGGTGGGATTAATTTCGGGTTTCTTCTGATTAACCAGGCTTCTCTGTTGGAAACATTCCATAGCTTCGAGGGATTAAGTAAACCTCATAGCACTATTAAGTACACGGTTAAGAAACTGCTGGATCTTAGAGAGCAGAAAAGAGAGGATTTATTGAGTGCTATTTCGGAGCAGACAGAGATTGTGGGAAGTCGATACAAACAATTGAAGCAGGTAAACTATGCATCTAAGGAATGTTATTTTGAAATTCTGAAAAAAAAATTGAGTACCGTCACCTCTTTATTCTATCTACATAAACACGTAAATAAATGCATAGATTTAATAGTTGCGTGATTTATCGCATTAATGCAAGTAAAACTGTCGGTGATCACAATGAACTTTGAGGAAAATCTTTTTTTGCATTCGGCACCCTTGTTATTTTTGTATTAGCATAAACTCCCCTATGATCAAAAGTATCCCTCGGAGTTCACTGTTTAAAGGGGGCACTGAGCTGAACGAAACGTAACATAGTTTATGCTAACGAAAATGATAGATAGATCTTTTCAACAATTGGAGATACCATATTTCCATATTTATTTTTTGTAGAGTTCACTCGAAACTTTTATTAGACATGTCATCCGAAGAAATTTAATTCGTCTTTTTTTTTTTGACCTTGTTCTCTCACAATGACATTTAAAGCTATGTCATCGATTTTTTTTCTAGCAGACGAAACTCATTTATAACTCGTGCAGATTTTCTTACTAACAATCTTTATGTACAGACACTGGAAACTTGTGGGTGGGAGGTACTCGAAGCTCAAGCAGGTGTATCGATTCTAGCAAAGCCAACTGCCTATCTTGGCAAGACAATGAAAGTAAACAATCAGGAAATTAAACTCATCGACTCGAGTATAAGGGAAGTCATGCTTAAGAGCACCGGTTTGTGCATCAACAGTCCTTCTTGGACCGGAATCCCTGGTTACTGCCGTTTCACCATGGCCTTGGAAGACGGTGAGTTCAAGCGTGCGTTGCATTGCATTTCTAAGTTCAAGAAGTTATTCGAGTTAAACTGAAAACACCACTTCTTCTTAATTTTCTTTAATTTGTCTTCACAACTTTGGTGTTGTGAATAAATTTGGCCCGGAGTTGCTTAATAGTGACGCTGCTCTTTTTAATCGCCACAAACTCGATTTCTATGTTTTCTGGAGACCTTACTTGGCCTAGATTGATATCAAATAAAAATTTTGTTGCTCTTTTTTTTTTTTTTCTTTTTCCTAGTTTATACCATTTACAATACGATCTTTTTGGTGGTATTTTCTTGCACCAATATGAAAATTTGGTTTCCGCGTTTGTTAATCGTTACGGGTGTCAAGGTTCAGGTCCGAAGTAGAGATCCATATTTTCAAAATGGATCTATTTGGTCATCGGTTCGAGTCACCTGGACCAATAACTATCCTCGTTTAAAAAGAAAAAGAGGAAACAAATTCAAATTCGCTATAAAAGTTGAAGTCATAATTAAATGTATAATAAAAATAGTAGTTACCTTACCCCATGCGATTAGTTGTATAGTGTTAAATAGGAACTTATTCAAAAAGTACTACAAATTATGATATAGTTATTGTTAATTAGGAATGTTATTGATAAAGACTGTGGCTATATACAAGACTAATTCCACTTGTGCAAGATCAAATTAAAATTTTCAATGTAATAAATACTATAATACCCTTATTTATTAAAAAAATAGAAAATTCCAAATATGCAAGACCAAAACTTCAAAAACACAAAAAACCCTATCACAAGACCACAAGACCAACTCTCATCTTCTCCATCTTCCAAAACACACAAGACATTTCTCCTTCCTCCCCCATTAACCCACAAAACCTAGAAATTCAAAATCATCAAAACTCAACAAATTTTACAAAGATGGCAAGTATGGAGTCATAAGACATCAAAATAGAAGATTCTACGATGGAAGAACCCAAGAATGTATGCATTTATGGGCTTTTTTAGCTAGAATATCGATTTTCCAAAAAAAATCCCGCGCAAACGAATTCGACATGTACAGGTCGAATTTTACAGGTAAAAATCGACATTTAGATGTTGATTTTGAGGTATAAAATTCGACATTTAGATGTCGATTTTGAGGTATAAAATTCGACATTTGAATTTGTGTTATAAATTCGACATGTCAATGTCGATTTTTACCTATGAAATTCGACGCTTAAGTGTCGATTTGTAGCATAGTTTTTCGACACCTTGGTGTCGATTTTTTTTTTTTTCTCATTATTTGTATTTGGTCTTACATGAGAAAAAAAAGCCAATTTAATTTATGGGCATACTTGTCATTCCATCTTAATAAAATAGAATCTTTTGAAATCTTTCTTTAATTTGGTCTTGCACAAGTGAAATGAGTATTGCATATAGCCGCAGCCATTGATAAATTACGTTTAATATCCAATTTTAGCAATTTCAGTACTAAAGATCTGATACAAGTAACCGAACATCTTATTAACTAAACAATTTGTTAGATAATAGAAAACTTATTCGATCTCATTTAATCCAAATTAATCGGAATATATGTAATCAAGATGAATATTAGAAAATATGAGTAATAAGCTAAAATAGTTATGATGGTTGATCTCAATTCCTATGCGGAAGAATAATAGATCAACGGTTGTGATCTATTGGGGAGCTAAGAGTGCAGCCGATCATCTCAAGAGGAAAACTTGAAGAAGATTCCCTTGCTCAGTCGTTAACTAACTCGAGCTGAAAGTTGTTACAAGATGTTGCAGTGGAAAGTGGAACAATTTCGAGAAACCGAATATATCCGGTTCTTTACGGTTTGGTTCCAAATTGGTTCCGGTTCGGTTCCCGGTTCTAACCGGTAGAACCGACGACCAGTTCGGTTCTCGATTCTAACCGGTAGAACCGGTTCTTACTAATATTCTTTTTGATATTTAACTAAAAAAACAATACTTAATTTAAAAAAAAAAGTTAATTTGTTTTTGAAAAAACAATGGAAAGAATACTTGAAAAACTTAATTCATTTTAAAAAAAGTATATATTTAAAGTTTAAAAAAAAAAATACTTCAAAAAATTATTTTTGTTTAATTTGACTGATGAAAGTATTTTTCTTAAATACTTAAATATCTTTCTTAATACTTCAATATATATATATATATATATATATATATATATAATTTGACCAGAAATTAATATATATAATTTTTTTATAGAAAAACCGGTTCCACCGATTCTAACCGCTGGTTCTCGATTCCAATAATGGGGAACCGGAACCAAACCGGTTTTCTCGGTTCCGGTTCTCTAGTCAAACCAATTCCGGTTCGGTTCAAAACCGTTGACCCCGATTCGGTACCAGTTACAGTTCTAACCGAACAGATGGTCATGTCTACGGAGAGCTCCTCACTACAAATGGATATAGATCAATTGATCGAACCACTATACATATTTGTGTTTTTAAGTGTTTGATCTAATATCCTAGCTCAATTCTCTTAAATTGGCCTTTGACTTTGTTGTTATTGGACTATTAGTTAGCAGTCACACTTGCATCACGAGAACATATATTTGGGCTAACCTAATTTGCAGGTGCAATCTTTATTTATTTTTAGTCTATTTGGATGCTTCATTTCTTGCCCAATTTTAATATGTTGCTATTTATAATATATTCTCTGTATATACTTTGTTTGTGTCATTGGGCTCTTATCTAATTTGGGCAGCTCTTCTTTTGGTTGACTTTTTAGATTTTTGTTTTGTTGTTTATTTAGTTTGGTCCATTATTTGGCCATATTTATGGACATATTAAGAGGATGTTTTGATAAGCTTATAAGCTGTTAGAAAGAGCTTATAAGATGTTTAAGAGTTTAAAAGTTCTTTGAAAATATTTGATAATTTTTAAAAAGTAAATTCAAAGCATAAGCTGTTGGATGACAAATAAGATATTTTTTAGAAAATAACCTTTGCCCTACCATTTCATTAAATTCTTATAATGAATAAAAATAGTTTATAAAATTATTATTAAACAATTCAAATATTAATTCTAAAAATAAGACGTAACAACTTGTTCGTTCTTAAAACAACGTATTAGCGAAATAGACCCTACGTTCAGGGGCGGAACAACCTTGTTACTTGGGGTGGCTCCCGCTAGACACGGCCACGGGCCGGTTCGGGCCGGTTCCGGGCCGATTCATACCGGTTCACGGTTCATTTTTTCCGGAACCGGAACCAGCCCGTAATATGCACGGTTCGGCGGGCCGGCCCGGAAAATTTGAATTTTTTTTTTTTTTGAAATATTTGATGAATAAGTAAATTATAGGAAAAAATTGGGGGTAGGGTATTTATAGGAAAAATTGGGGGGGGGGGGGGGGGGAAATTCAAAAAAAATCAAATAACGGCCGGTTCACTAGCCGTTATTTGCTTTATTTTTTGAATTTTTTTTTTTTTTTTGGTAAATCCGGGTGAACCGCCGGGCCGGCCCGGCGGTTCACGGTTCACCATGTCATAGAACCGGGCCGGTTCCGGGCCCAAAACCGACCCATGGCCGTGTCTAGCTCCCGCCCCTGCGGATTTTTTTTTTTGTCATTTTTTTTAAATTTTTATTTATTTTATATTATTAATTATCTACTAATAATTTTGTACTATAATCCCAAAAAATTTAACACCCCCTCCCCCAAAAAAAAAAACAAACAAATAGGGTGCGTTCGCAACTCTTGGATTTTTTGATTATTTTATTTTTTTTTTATTTTTTTTTTTTAAATTTGACTCTAGTTTCTGATAAATGATAGCACATCTGCATTAACCTTTAATTTTCACTTGTATTACATATGTAAGATTTTGTATCACCTCATCACGTAATCAAACACTATGAAACATAGAGGATAAAATCTCTGCAGGTGCAGATGCAAGGAGATTAATTAATATTTTCCTTTTTTTTTTTTTTTAATATTTTCTTGTAAACTAAATTATCATTTGGTTGCCAATATAAGATTAAACAATTTAATGAAATCCAATTGGATTATTGGGATCTTGGAATATTTAATAAAAAATATGCCTAAAAGACAAGATAAGACATAATACATAATATTTGCAGGTCGACCGGACAAGTTATTTGGGATATCAAACATAAAAAATAAAGTTCAATTATTTAATTAATCATGACTAATTTTTCCGACCAGACGAGGTCTAAGAATATTAAATAGCGCAAATTACGGTCACCTCCTGAGTTATTGTCAAGTTACAAAACCCCCCTCATGTTTGGGTAATTACATTCACCCCCTCAACTATGTATTAGCTTACAAAACAAACCCTCCAAAGGTAAATTTAGGGATGTTAAATCGGCAAAACCGAACCGAAATTTCGGTACGCCAACATTTCATACTGTTTACCGAGCTGAATAGATGATTTGCTTCGGTAAATAACCGAATTACATAAATTTTATGTAAAAATATTTAAAATAAGGGGGTTACTGTAAATACCCAAACAATAAGAGTTTTTCCGTAATTTGCCCTGTTAAATATAAAAATAGAAAACAACATGTCATGAAGTGCTGAAATCCTAGTGGATTGTTATTGGTGCATGCAATAATGATGGGTACTCTCCATATATACCATTCCAAAAACATATTTGTTTTACTCTATTCTCCAATCTCCCACCCAAAAAGGGGGCCCCTCCACTTTGACAATAGGAGTTCGATTTATTTATTATATACTACACTTGGTGAATTTTATCTGATAATATTTCAGATATTTGTTATATATAGCTAGCACATGCATTCATAACTATTCATTTTGCAGATATTCAAATATATGTATATATTATTGTGCTACATACAGTATCGGAGCCAGCATAATTGGACAGTAGCTGATGGCCCCCCTCCCCCAACCTAGAATTTAATTGAATGCATTCGGTTCCCTCGGGACTTAAAATCCTCGCTCAGCTACTGGTTTTATCTATGTATAGATTTGTATTGTAAAACATCTAAGTTGCTCTTTACATAAAAATCAAGTTTGTAAAAAATGAGAATGGGGTCGGAGGCGGTTAGACACTGCCTCACGATTAATCGGCAATAAATTAGAAATATATCAATTTATCAAATTTAATGTAATATAATCTAGGTATTGTTTGTAAATATTTAAAATATTTATAAAAACATATTGGCTGTGTTTGGTAAGCTTTTGGGCTTCCATTTCCATTTTATTTTGGGGAAAGATGTTTTGGGAGAAGAATTTGAAAATTAAATAAAGTTTGTTTGTGTTTTGGGAGAGACAATTTGTACTGTAGCAAGTCAAATCATGTCTGAAAGGTGTTGGAAAAAAGGTATTTTGGAAGAAGAATTTAAAAGATAAAGTGATTTGATTTTATATTTTAGTGAAGACAATTTTCACTGTAGCGGTCAAATCATGTTTGTTAGAGAGAGAAATATTTGAATTTGTTTTGGGGAAAGTTTTTTAAAATAGTGTAGAAAGATAATTTTCATTTTGGGGAAAGTGTGGAAAGAATTTGAAAACGGTAACAAACATAGCCATTATATCTCCATCATTTATATATTCTAATCACTTATTAAAATATTAATAACAATCAGATCATAATATAATAAAAATCCTTACAAAATACAAATAAAACGAAAATCTTCCGAATTAAAAAATTATACTTGAATATTGCAAGCATACATCATTAATATCATTAGGTTCTTTAAAAAATAACAATTAAAATAAACAAAATAAATCATAAACTCATCTTTTTGGGTCAACTAAAAAAAGAAAACTGATTTTTCAAACATTTACATCAAAGTCCTCCGCTTCATAGATGGATTAATCGACCGCCTCAACCGATTTTTAGAACAGTGATTAAAAAAAAGAGAAAAAAAGAAAAAAAGTACAACGTGTGATAATTCTGCTCGCTCCGAGCCAACAATTTGAATGTTCTTTCACTGTCGTAGCTGCTGGTGTGTACCTATACTTATTTATTTATGATTTGATATTCAGCCTCAAATTTATATTTTTATCTATCTCTATCTTGTTGTTGCAGCCACTAACGTTGTATTCATGTATTTTTGTTAACTTGTGTTTCTTTTGTATTAATAAATTGTTTCATATCAAGAAAATTCGAGACGTTTTGCCCAAAATAGAATCTCTGCTTAAACCCTTCTGCAACAAGTTGGAAATGTGTGTCCAGAATATGCCGAAACTATTTATCTGCTGTGTAAACAGAACAATTGATCATAATTCGATTTTGCAATCAGTAAAAAAGTGATCTTTTGTTTGGGGAGGAGAGAGAGAATATATATATAGAGAGAGAGAGATTTGCAAAAAGGGGGAAAAGTTGAAGAAGAAAGAAAATCAAAGTGGGGGAAGCCCATCAGACCAAGTTTGCTTCTTTTTCTGTGTCTTCAAGTATTCTCTCATCATTTTAATTAATAATAATCATATTAATTAAAACTGAGTGCAAATTCATTCCCACTTGTCCTTTTCATTCTTTTCCATGTAAACTGAAGCTTTTTCCATTCATTCTTTAGCTCCTGTTCTTATTCTCCCAAAAGTTGGTCCACCACCTGTTTGATGTTTTGTCTCTGAGAACTCTTGTCTCAAGATTGTGAAAATCTAAATTACATGTACTCAACTCCCATCACAGAGATTTGATTTCTATGTATGGTTGTCATAGAAATTACTGTTCTTCCCTGATTTTTCTGTGTTGTCAAGATTAATTATCTTCATAGCAGCGAAATGGCTTTGTGGATGATGGTGGTGGTTCTTTTATCGTCTTTTCTTTCAAATATGGGATTTTCGAAAGAAGATTCGAGCCCCGATGATATAAACATCGGTGCCATTTTTTCGTTCGGCACGATAAATGGCAGAGTATCGAACATTTCGATGCGCGCTGCAGTCGAAGATATAAACTCCGACCCCAATATCCTCCATGGCAGAAAACTAGTTCTCTCAACACATGATTCGAATTACAGCGGCTTTCTCGGCATAATCGGAGGTACTAAAGATTAAATTTTCTTGCAACATACTTACATGTCCGTAAATTTCGATACTTAAATTTTTTTTTGGCCTCATAAACACAGGATTGCAGTACATGGAGACTAACACAGTAGCGATAATTGGACCACAAGCTTCCGGTATGGCCCACATTCTCTCCCACTTAGCAAACGAGCTCCACGTACCTATGATGTCATTCACCGCACTGGATCCTAGCCTTGCCTCTCTCCAGTACCCTTACTTCATCCAGACGGCCCCTAACGATCTTTTCCAAATGACAGCTGTCGCTGACATCATCAGCTACTTCGGTTATCGAGAAGTAATAGCTCTGTACACGGACGATGAACAGAGCCGTGGTTCCATGATAGCTCTTGGAGACAAGCTCGAACAAAGGCGCTGCAGAATCTCTTACAAAGCTGTGCTCTCGCCCGAAGCCAAAGCGACACGTAGTGAAATAGCGAACGAGCTGCTCAAGGTTTCAATGATGGAGTCGCGTGTTATTGTCGTCCACGCGTTCGCTGTGATTGGACTACAAGTTTTCGATTTGGCTCGTAAACTTAGAATGATGGATAAGGGGTACGTTTGGATCGCAACTTCTTGGCTTTCGACTGTGATAGATTCGACTCCTGTTTCTGCTTACAAGTCGACTCAAGGGGTGCTTACACTCCGGCCCCACACGCCGGATTCCAATAGGAAAAGGGCGTTTTTGTCCAGATGGAAAAAGTTGAGCAACGGTTCGATTGGGTTGAACCCGTATGGCTTATACGCTTATGACACAGTTTGGACAATTGCGAATGCGGTTGCAAATTTTCTTGATAATGGCGGCACTATCTCGTTCTCGAATAACTCGAATTTGATTGGTTTGGGAGGTGGGAATCTTAATCTCGGCGCGCTAAGCATGTTCGACGAAGGGAGCAAGCTTCTACGTATCATATTAGAGACAAACACGACGGGTTTGACCGGTCAAATCGCGTTCGATTCGGAAAAATCGGTTGTTCGACCTTCTTACGACATCATCAATGTGGTTTCGAAGGGTGGTTATAAGCAAATAGGGTATTGGTCGAACTACTCGGGAATTACAGTCGTGCCACCGGAGATTCTTTACGCAAAAGGATTGGACCGTTCGAATTCGAACCAACGGTTGGACGATGTGGTGTGGCCGGGTCAAACGCGGGTCAAACCGAGAGGGTGGGTTTTTCCGAATAACGGACGGAAGTTGAGAATTGGGATTCCGAATAGGGTGAGTTATAAAGCGGTCGTGTCGAAGGATGAAAATACGAGCGAAATTCGTGGATATTGCATCGATGTATTTCTTGCGGCCATAAAGTTGCTTCCATATGCGGTGCCTCATAAGTTCGTCTTATTTGGAGATGGGCACAGTAATCCGAGTTATTCGGAGCTCGTAAGAATGATCACATCCAATGTAAGTTTTTATGCATTTTCTTGAAGGTGGATTTTGTAATCGCTCTATATAGAGTAGGTCGAAATTTTGGATTTGACTAGAAGATGGATTTTTAAATCAAGCTCAATGACTAACAAAAACAAGAACTTAGAATTTCCGATCCATTGTCGAATGACTTAATCCTAATGCAAAGATTGAATTTTTACGACACAATGACCTCTATATGCAGGTCTTTGATGCAGTTGTGGGTGATATTGCAATCGTAACTAACCGAACAAAGATAGTGGACTTCACTCAGCCTTATATAGAATCGGGGCTCGTAGTTGTGGCCCCCACAAAGAAGTTCTACTCAAGCCCGTGGGCTTTTATGCGTCCGTTCACCCCACTAATGTGGGTCGTCACAGCTGCGTTTTTCCTCATTATCGGATTCGTTGTTTGGATTCTCGAACACAGAATAAACGACGAATTTCGTGGGCCCCCCAAGAAACAGCTCATCACTGTTTTATGGTGAGAATCAATTTCCTTTTTCGATAAATGAAGTCATAAATTATGGCTTCTCAACTTTTGAACAATATATATTAAGTCATCTACTTTTCTTCACATTTGCAGGTTTGGCTTCTCAACTATGTTTTTTGCACACAGTAAGTTTCCAAGCAATTAGCTTAAAAAAAATAGAGTTTATTGCATTTAGTACCCCTCCGTTATATCAAATTGCTAAAAAACCCCTGTAGTGAATTTTTTTAGCAAACAACCCCCTAAATCCCCTAAATGGGGAGTTTTTAGGGATAGTTTGCTAAAACAAATTGCAACATATTTTTTTTTTCTTCGAATCTTTATAACATGGGGATGTTTTGAACAATTAGAGCAAATAAAATCCTTAAATTTATACTAAATTTACAAGAATTGATTATTTATATTTCAGGAGAAAATACCATGAGTACCCTTGCTCGTATGGTTCTACTTATCTGGCTCTTCGTGGTTCTAATAATTACCTCGAGCTACACCGCGAGCTTGACTTCGATCCTGACCGTTCAACAGTTGACCCCATCGATCAAGGGTATAGATTCGTTGATCACGAGCAATGAGAATATTGGATTCCAAGTTGGATCCTTTGCCGAAAATTATTTAAATGAGGAGCTCAATATTCCTAAATCGAGACTCGTTCCTCTCGGTTCACCGGAAGAGTATGCCGATGCTCTCGATAGAGGAAGAGTCGCTGCGATTGTGGACGAGCGTCCGTACGTTGATTTATTCCTCTCGAATTATTGCATGTTTCAAGCCGTCGGACGAGAGTTCACGAAAAGCGGATGGGGTTTCGTAAGTATCTATATATCTATCTATATGCTTTTGAGGAATTTATATTATATGCTTTGATTGATCTTAAAAAGTGACTACTTGAGCTTGGAATTTTCGCAATATTCAATGTTTTTTGGGGTTTATTGCATTTAGCACCCATGTGTTTACTCTAATTGTTATAAAACTTCCCGTGTTATAAATATTAGCAAAACCCCCTATAATGCCATATGTTAGCAAAAAGTTTATTGCAAATAGTACCCCTATGCTATATCGAATTGCTAAAAAACTTTCCCATATTATTTTATTTCCAAAAAAACCCTATATGATTTTCTTTTTAGCAATTAGTATCATGTTTAAGGTGTTGTGTGCTAAAAATATCGAATCATAGGGGGATATTTGCAAATAAAATAAGATGGGTAGTCTTTTTAGCAATTCGATATAACACGGGTACCTAATTCCATTAAACTCTATTAGCAAACTACCCGTAAAAACCCACCACTTAGAGGGTATTGAATCGTAGGGGGGGTTTTGCTAATATTTATAACACATGGTGTTTTTCAGCAATTCGATATAACACAGAGGTACTAAATGCAATTAATTTTTTTTTTACTTTTTTTTCTTTTAACATGTGGACTACTTTATATATAGGCATTTCCGAGAGACTCGCCACTAGCAATGGACATGTCCACCGCCATTTTAGCACTATCGGAAAACGGCGAGCTCGAAAAAATACACGACAAGTGGCTGAAAACGAGCGATTGCGGCCAAACGAGCTCGAAAGATTCCGATCAGCTTCAGTTGAAGAGCTTTTGGGGTCTCTTCCTAATGTGCGGGATTGCGTGCTTTCTTGCTCTGCTCGTTTATTTCTGCTTGATGTTACGTAAATTCACTCGACATTTCCCTCAACAATCGGAAAATGACCCCTCTATAAAGAGGGGCTCGAAATCCATACGGATAAAAAGATTTCTCTCTTTTGTGGACGAGAAGGAAGAGGAGTTGAAGAACAAGTTGAAGAGAAAGCATATTGACGTTGTTCCGAGAGGTAGCGCCGAAGATCATGAACCGAGTAGCGTTTACCACGACAGGCGCAACGGGAATTCGGACTTTTACTGAAATGAAACGGGCTCCGATTTTTCTCTGCGGAAGATATATATAACAAGATGGTAATGATAGCAAATTCATTCATTAATATCATCACAAGGGAAATAATTAAATGAAGACGTGTATATATGTATTGATCTTTTTTTTGTTCTTGCCTTGTTTATAAAATGTTTGTAATTTCAATGTAACATGTAATTATTCTTAGAGCAAATATAGTAATAGGAAAACAAAAATAATGCAATATCTTAAATATTCCGATTTTATTTGATATATGATTGGCCTGATAACACTTTGAGCTGGTCGACAATTATTAAAAAAAAAACCGACTCCCAAAACTCGAAAATTCGTAACGCGAAACTGAAACCGAAACCCGAAAACCAAAAATTGAAAATTTTAACTAAAGAAAGAAATTGAAGAAAAAAAAATTTGGACCATTTCTCGATTTATGCGTGTCATCCTTCTCTGTATCGTTCCAATTTTATCGGATGTCCCCGAAGGGGCAATGTATGCTGACTTCGCTGAGGAATATAAACCGGAAGATGTTACTATGTTCTATCGATGTGGGATAAGTTTCAGCCTCCAAGCAGTGGCAATTTTGCAAATACAGGTTTTGTTGCAACTATAGGATGAAATAATATTATTATTTTTTTTTGGCATTTGATGTAAATAAAAATATAAAAATAAAGCAGATTGATTTTCATAGATATAGCATGAGATTCAAATTAACATAATTTCAACAACAAAAAAGAATAATTGAATCATTCTTCATAAAATCCTCGTAGATTAGTCATAATGTCCTATAAATAATAATTCTCGTAAATATATTATCTTGTAATTTGTGAATTTAGCGAATTATTAATTTAACATGGGCGTCCCCAACTGAGGACCGAACAAAAATATTATTTAAACAAGCTTATTTAATCAAGTATTAAATTAATGAAGTTATAATTATTATGCTATAGAAAAGAAAATAAAATAAAAAAAAAAGATAAAAAAAAAAAAAAAAAGAAAGAAAGAAGCAAAATACACTGTACTACTACGTATGGTACGATACGGTATTATCATAGTAATGATGATGCAATATCTACTGCACCCTCTAATTACGGTACGATACTAATACCGTACCGAATGAGTTACTAACCAATACTCTGGTATTTTTTCGATAATCTTTAATTGGTATACAATGCTATTCGGTAGTTGGTAATTTTTTTCCACCTCAAGTGATTTTGGTACGGTAGGATATTTAGTTCATAGGGCAATTTGGTAAAAAAAAAAATGCGGCTCGGAGCTTCCGCACTCGAACTTCATGGGGGCAAAATATATTTCTTTTTCTCAAAGGGAGTAAATTATTAAAAGTTACAAAGTTTGGGGGTAAAAGTGTTATTTCGCAACAATAGTACTGTTAAAAAGGATTATGGTTCGATTGAAACCCAATTCTGAAAGAAGGTTTTCTTTTTTCCCCCTTTTCGTGTTCTACATATTATCCGAGAAACCCTAGCGATTAATCAAATTATCATCTGCGAATTCGAAATTTCAATACAGTTGATTGAACCAGAATGGAAAGCGGCGAAGGTGAAGGCGAAGAGGTGAGCATTGAAGAACTCGCCGCCAACCTCTCTACTTACAAACAGCAGCTTGGACAGGTGAATTCACGATTTTTCTTTTCCCTCCCTTTTTCAATTGGTATGGATTTTATTTTTTTTCTGATTGTTTGATTGGGAGATTGGATTTTGTTATGTGTTAATTTGGGTTTTAACTAGTGTGAATCATCGATACTGAAAGTTGAAGTTCGGAGCTACATGATTTTGTTTTCTTTTCGTTTCATTTTGGTATGTGTTGTATTTTTTTGTTAATTGTTTGATGGGAAGATTGGATTTTTCTGTGTGTTAATTTGGGGTTTAACTAGTGTAAATCGTCGATAGTGAAAGATTTATGTTCGGAACTTATATGATGAATTATTACATAGTTGAAACTTGAATATGTCACCTCCAACGGTTAGAAATTATAATACCTTAAATTCCTAATATTCGTGTCGTGGGCATAAAAGGGAACTAAGTTCAATGTGATAAGCCTTAAAAAACTTCACTACTTCTGATATACACTAACTGCACAATGTATCAACATGACAAAATGTGATCTTAGCATGGTATCGGAAACTTCATTCTATTGTTAAAATGAAATAGAAGTACGTAGTTTCTTGTTCGATCGGCATCAGATGGAAGTAGTTCAAATATATTGTGATAAACTTTTGATCTAGTGTAGGTTTTCTTGTGAGGTTGTTTTGTTCGTATTCTGTATCTAGGGTAGAATGGGGGTGCTAATCTATACTTCATTTTATTTTGGTGCTTGTTTGTATTGTGTCCAGAGTGAAAGGAATGTGTCATGCCTACTTACAGATTTATCCTCCCTCACAGCATTGTTGAGTTCTGAATTTGTTGATTCCTTTAGTTTTTATGCTATGCAATTGTGCAGGACTATATCCTACTTGATATTTATTATAATTCATTTTCTTTAATATGAATCAGGTCCGTAAGCTATTGAATGACGACCCAAAGAACTCTGAGTTCCTGGACATGCAGAAGGAACTTATGGAGGTGATCCGTTTTTAGAAATCCTTTTCTCCCCTTCAACTTAGGAAACCGCCCTTTCTTAAGGGAGGGTATTCTTTTTGTTCGGAACTTTAAATTCCATGTGTCCCCTGTATGCTCTGACATTTTGTTGTTTGAGTTGTTTATGGGCCATTGTCTTTGATATTCGGAGGTTAAAACCATTTGACATAATAAGCTAAAATAATATGATTAGGTCATTGCTTTCTTGAAATTTAATCACAATCTCACTTTTTCTTTCTCAAATATTATAATTGCTCAAATAAGCAGTTCAAGGAAATACTTGTGACAGAAGAAAGATTTGTTTACCCTTGTGGTTTGCAAGGTGAGAACATTTTATCTTGTTAAGAGAAATCTGCATACATGGTGTAGAGAAGTGTTGGGATTTGAAACAATAAAAAGTGAGAGTTTGTTAAGGTGCCCATCACTTGTGTCTTGGTTATTGCAGGTGTGCTATGTGGTGATGGCCAGCCTGCTTTCTCGTGAATTTCGGATGTCATGCTGGATTGAAGTTCAATTTTTCATCTCTTAGTTAACTACAGTAGAATTATTTGTCTGTTCACGATTTGGCTTATTTTGTGACTGCAGGTGATTCAATTGACAGAGGAGCTGCTGGAAACTGCAAAACATAGTGATAGTAGTCCTGGAATTGTTGCGGGGACTAATGGCGAATCATCTCAAAATTTACATCTGTCTGGGAACTCCTTTCAGGTAGTGTATTATCTAAACTTATCGGAAAGATTGGGGGTTCTGTTTTGAGTTAAAAATTGTGCTTGATTTTGCAAGATACTGTAGAAAAAAGGTATTGCATGTTCGTAGTCAATGTAGCCTGTTCTGTAATAGCTTGGTCGTAGATAAATTATTGCGATTAGGATCAATTACGATAAATAGCACGAACCATTTTCTGTTGGTCTCCTATATCTACTGTAGATACCTTCCATGTAGATGCTTTTGATGTACAAGCAGTCAAGGTTTCAATGGCTGTGTAAAGGTCATGGAGTCTATGTCAACTAATCAAAAGAATATTTGTTGATCTTCGATCAAAGAAAAATATGATTTATTTTCATTCATCGGTTTTTCCAAGTGGTTACATTTCTTCTATTTCGTTATTGTTGCCTTAGTCTGACTTTGGTCAAAGTTCTAAGCAGATTATGACATCAGCTTCTTCCTTTTTTTCTTTTTTTAGGAAATCTCACTTAAGAGTTAACCAAGAAAAGGGGGATATCAGTTTTCCTCTTTATTTTTTCTCCTCATTGACCGCTCTTATTGCCTGCACCACCTTTTGCAGTATTTAGGTTTGTTGGTAGTTATTTGGATTCTTGGACCATTTAGTGATAAAAGCTGGGCCATCTTTTTTCGTGCAACCATAAAGTAATTAGTCACTAAAAAAATAACCATGATCTAATGAACAAGCATTTCAACAAAATAGAGAAAAAAGGGGCCTCCAATCTAGCAATACAATTTTCGTCACCTGGTCTTTGTGTTGATCTGAATAGTTGACCGAGTGAGAAGGGGATGCAGTGAGTTGTGCAGAATGTTGTTGTTGAATCACCGGCCTTTGAAACAAGCATCTTTTTCCAACTTAGTTTACTGTTTATTTTATTTCAAAATCACTGTAATTTTTGGGAAGAAACTATAAATTTCTCGTGTAAAATTCAGACTTCTCAAAAGTCAAAAGATATTATAGTTGAAGTTTGGATTATGACCTGTCATGCAAATTATGAACGTATTCGTAACTATATTGAAGTGAAGGAAAGTAAAGTTATGACTGTAACTATGTTGAAAAGTCGTGTTACTTTCTATGAGATGAACAGCTTCGTTACCGTTACTGACATCCTGATAATGTTTATCTGTATAGATCTCATGGTTAGTTATTTTGTTGTCCTCTTCTTGCTCTTAGGTTTGGTCTTTTAAAGATTGTTGAAAAGGTTGATCATGTTTCCTCCCCTCCCGCTCCCTTAAATGCTGTCACTCGTCAACAATTATTACATGTTGCACTTATGTTGGTCAAGATTGTCGTACAAGCCTTGTGCTGATGAAACTAATTTTCTTAGTATCATTGTCCAGGAATCAAGATCTACTGCCGATGATGGTGATAAGTTTCCTATTGGCACCAAAGTTCAAGCAGTCTGGAGTGAAGATGGAGAATGGTATCTAAACTGTTTTATATAATATATTTACGTGTGTGTATGTCTCTGTATCCTGGTAGAGATGTTTAGTTTTCGATTTTTCTTTACCTTTTCTCCCTCTTGTTTGATTTAGTTGAATATAACAGGTATGATGGTACAATTGAGGAACTTACTCCGAATGGGTATTATGTTCGCTATGATGGATGGGGTAATCGGGAAGAGGTATGCTTTGATTCCCTCAGATCTTGAAGTTTTTTTTTTCTTTTTACATGGAATTTCCATCTAGGTTAATGATTGATCCATCCCGCATCGCCGCCCCCCAACACACTCACACACGCACACACAATCTGTTTCTCTTGATTTTATATCGCATCCCCACCCTCCCTGCTATCTGGAATTTCTATTTGTTCGATGCCAAACATCATCATTACTCTGGTCAATATTCTGATTATTGAAAATAGAAGGTGATGAATCAAGCTACCATCTCTTCCACAAAAAAAATAAAAGAAAAATAATTGATGGTATTACTTTTCTGAATAAAAATGAAGGCATAAAACGGACTATGATTATGACTTCTTTTGAGGGAAATCTGATGAGAATTGCTTAAGTTAAAAAGTTATTACTTATGATTCGAATTGAAGTTTTGGGAATGTTGTGGAACTTCGTTTACTCTTTCCCTTCCATTATATTGACGTGCTTCATCGGTGATTCCAGGTGGATCCTGATAATGTGAGACCAATCCAAGAAAGCAATCCTGACCCTTTACTAGAAGCTGAAAAGATTGCTGTGGCTACAAAAGAAGCCCTTAAACGTAAGATTGCCCAAGCTGCTTCTAAAGAGTCCGAGTCCTGGACTGTTCCTCAAAAACTTCAGATCGATCCCAACGATTCTGAAGATGTGGTATGTTTAGACTTACTGTTCGGTTTTAAATGATTATAATCTAATAGTTGGTCAATGAATTGAGAAGTTGTGAATTTTTTGCTTATATGATTCATTTCATATTTTCGATTCTCAGAAAGCCGCAAAACGGAAAAAGTTGCATGCTTTTAAGTCCAAGATGCGGATGGAAGCAAAAGAGGTTACTCAAAACAAGAGGCAGAATGCATGGCAACAATTCCAGACAACTAAAGGCAGAGCTAAAAAGGTGCGTGTGCATCTCTGTATTATATTATTGATATAATTTTATTTTATTTTCGTGTTATTGTACTTTGATTTGATTTTTCGACTTTTGTTCCAAAGGTTGGTTTCTTCTCGGGTCGAAAAAGAGAGAGCATATTCAAATCGCCAGACGATCCATTTGGGAAGGTTGGAGTAACTGGAAGTGGGAAAGGTTTAACCGAGTTTCAGAAAAGAGAAAAGCATCTACATCTCAAAGGTGGAAATATAGAAGGTGCAGACGAGTAAAGATCGAAACTCTCTCTTTTTTCTGATCCGATGAGTTTTGTGATTGGATTTAGGAGCTATGTAACATTTGTGTATCGTTATATTATATGGTTGCAATGCCTTTTTTTTTCTGTTGCATTAGTTCATAGTTGATATAAGACTCTGTCAACAAGTTTAATACTGGTTGATTTTACTTCATTTTGTTCTATGTTGTGTACATTGTTGTTTTCTTGTTGATGTTGTGCTGACACAAGGCCAATGGAGCCTTGTGCTTCAATATCCCTTGGTTTTCAAGAAAAAGAAAAACTAAAATTTTGGAATTAATTTCAAATATTAAATTGCATTGAAATCAATGATTTTCTATTGGAAACGGTAAGTTTTGATTAGGAAAAAAAAAATCGACTCGATACAAATTTGATTTTCTTTTGTATCCCAGGTGCAATTCAGAATTTTCTTTCAATTTGCACTCAGTAGAAATTTTCAGATAATACTCGTTCAAATAATAATTTCTTTTGATCCCGATTTGGTAAAAACATATTAAATTATTAGTTCGATAATTTAATATTTCGCTAAAAATCAATAGAATTTTGTTAGTCACTTAATAAAGGAATTTTGTTAGAATTAATAAAGTAATTTAAAGAAGTTTGCCTGTACATGTTTTCGATCATATACAGGAAAGAAACATTAAAAATGTATCTAAATCTAATTTTAATTTGTCATTCAAGAAATAAATATTCAGATTTTATTTCATAAAAATGGATCTTTCATTTATTTCACCGAATAGCCACGTAAAATAGGTTTGTCATGTATTAGGACAATTTGTGCTGTGAATTTCAATTTATCACACAATTAATTATTAAATTGGAAAAAAAAAATTGCTTCAATATGTATTCCAAACTCTTGTTATCTTATATATAAAACAAAGAAATGCTGGGCAACCCTAATGATATTTCTGTAATTATTTATTTTTAATATTTTTTCTCTACTAATTTCTAACTATAATTTTTAACAATTATCAAAATTGAAACTAAATCGTGAAGAATCCCACCCTAATGGTACTTCGATAGTTATTTATTTTTAATTTTTTTTTTCTAATTTGAATTATAAATTTTAATATGTAAGATTTTAAAGAAATAATGTTATATAAAATATGAATAATATTACATTATTAAATTTTACTATTTTTGTGTACTATATTTTCTTATTATGTAGTAATTTGATTATTTTTTTCACTTTTAAAATAAGATTCACGTGAAAAAAAATGCTAGTTACTGTTCAAAAAGAAAACAAACTCTTGTTATTTTAATAGATCAGCCAATTAGCAATGTTTTTAGATTTTGAAAAAAAAAAAAGAAAAGGTATATTTATAAATATATATAGTAACACAATAAAATAAAATTAAATAATACAAAAAGGAGAGCGAAGGCCAAGATAATCTGCTTGCTCAACATGGTTTACAGTGCAAACCTTCCATGGACTCTCCTCCTGGTTATTTCCAGGCTTCTTCAAGAATCTGATGACAATTTGACAAAACAAAAAATTATTAAAACAAGAAAAAAATAAAAAAATAAATAAAAATAAAATTGGCCTAAGCACGCACTACACACGCACCACACACGTACCACACACGCACGCACCCAAAATGATTCGAACACTTGGAAAATTCAACTGTCAATTTTCATTGTTATGCAGGAAGTTTTTGGATGCTAAGATTTGTTTAGAAATAGTTGAAACAATTGAAAATACAAACAAAAAAAAGAAGGGCCGGAAATAGTATCGTTGATGACAAACTTTCGATACGATGAAAATTGGGAACATTTGCTAAAAAGTCACAAGATTATAAATTATTTTATAGGATATTGTTTTTTTTTTTTTATGTTCTACTATAACATAACTAATTTTGATGCTGATACTGATACTGGTGCTGAGTGCTGATGCTGATGATACTGATATTGGTACTGGTACCGGTACTGGTGCTGGTGTTGATACTATGTTGCTATAAGTTTCTAAAAATGCACTAGTGCAATTTACGTGCATTCTTTTTTTGTCACCTCTTTTAATCTTCGACAAATATATATATATATATATATATATATATATATATATATATATATATATATATATATATATATATATATATATATATATATATATATATATATATATATATATATATATATATATATATATATATATATATATATATATATATATATATATATATATATATATATATATATATATATATATATTTATATATATTCCAATAAAAGGAAAAGAATTTTCAAAAAATAGAAATTGTTTTAAGAAACTTACTCTGAGATGAAATCTTCAGTAGAGCACTCGCACCCTGCACTTCGTTTTCTCTGTTGAACGAAAGATCCAGCAGAGCGGTCGCGCATACTACATCGTCGTCGTTTTCAGTTTCCTTTCCTTTCTTCGATTTTGCGCTATCCTGAAAAATACGCAACTATTAAAACAAGACTGATATATTCAATGGCATATTTATTATAAGAGGAGAAATTGCTAACTATTAATATAAAATATCATATATCAAATTATTTATGATATACATGCGCCCACATCACACACGAGATGCGCTAGCTAAGAGAGGAAAAAAATCATATACGGAAACATGTGCGCACACCACACGATATACATGCGCGCACATCACACACGAAATGCGCTAGCTAAGAGAAAAAAAATCATATACGGAAAAATGTGACACACACGCGCACACACCACACGATATACATGCACACACACCACACATGAGATGCGCTAGCTAAAAAACTCGAGGGAATAAGAGAAGAAAAAAATAAAGCTTACATTTGTTTTGGAAATAAAACCACGCCTTCGGTTATTTTTTAAAGCAGCACGCTTCTCTATGCTAGGTGAAGCTGCTTCTACCTGTGATTGGCGTGTTGCTCCGAAAGTTACCAACTTTGGTGCTTCAAACCCCTGCAGAAAAAACCCAATACAAATTGTCAATCGAAAATTAATATCTTAGCCCGAAGATTAAAAGATGATCGGTTTCATTTCCATTATTTTTCGAGTAATTATAACATACTGCATTTCTAAAAAAGTCGAAGAAATTCAACTAAGAAAACCCTTCTCGATTAAGACATGTCATTATTAAATGGAGAACTCTAAATGAGCATATCTACAAAGTAAAACAAATCATACTAAAGAAGCAGTTACTAAACCAAGACCATCGTTATCAAACAACGACGCAAAACCGTGACACGTGTACGAATGCAGAACACTAGATAGTGCTCTGTTTAATATGCTTTTTTTTTTTTTTTATCGCACGTGGCAATTTGTGAAACACCACAACACACCACGACAATTCAAATACGCCAAAATAAAGTTGATCCGTACAATTTTAATGATTAAAGATCACTTCTTTTTTGTCGTATATACCGATCTCCTCTCTCCTTATGATCAAGAACCTATTAAAAACTCTGCCACCAGAAGTTTTCTAAATTCTTCACTTTTACACATAAATTTGATTGCTTATTATGAATCCGTAATAGATCTAAACTTTTAGTAGCATTCGATGAGTTGAATACATTAGTAACCTACCGATCGTAACTAGGTTTTCGATCCGACAAAATAAGTACATCCAACATCGTTTTATAATATAGAAAGAGATAGATAGATAGATAAATAAACAACAACGCAGCTTCAATTTCGACTCCAATGATCGCAACTCACAATTCAAAAAAATCGAAAAATAATTATGCCCACATATCAACTAATACAATCCAAATTTCTCAAAACATCAAATCAAAAAAAGCATGAGCATGTAGAATTTCTAGAAGCAGAAACAGACCTGAACAAAAGTTCCGATTTTTGTAACCCCACTAGAAAATTCAAATACTTTAGGGACTTCAAATTCCGCCGGAGAGGCAGCAGCAGTACGACGAGCATCCATTATCGGCGGCGGCGGCGGCGGTGGAAAATGGAAATTAGGGTTCTGGATGTTGGCTGAAGATGGAGTTTAGGGTTTTGTTCAGAGGCAAAGAAGGGTGGCAGGGTTGGGAGTAATAAAGGAATTGTTGCGGAATGCATTGATGTTGTGAATCAGATGGATGGATGCAAAGTGGTGCTCAAACAACGGTGTGATGATTCTTCAAACAAAAGTACAGATTGGCAAAAAAAGAAGCAGAAATTAATGGAGAAATTGAAGAGCGAACGACACCCCAATGTAACAACCGCCTCCGTTGGGTGCCAACTGCCGATGAAACGGAGGAAGAAGACAACAATTTTGAGCGCAAAATTCATGTGTCTTGACAACGGCGGTCGGGTGGGGTGGGGGTATGGGGTGGGGTGGTGGTATGGGTGATTATTGTGTTTGAATTTTGAATTTTTTTT